CCACTCACTCAGACTACTTATCTCTAAATAATAAATGTTAAAGAATATGGATTAATTCTCATGACATGCAGCATTTATAGGCCCGAACTTCACAAGTTGTGAATTTAACAGGTCAAATAAATGCACATACAAGTTTCACTTGATCCTTCTTCCTTCTCAGATCTTCTAGTGCAACCAACAACTGAGCTAACAAATTCAGTTCGAGTTCAGGCTCGTTTTGTTAACGAGTCGAGAATCACTATTATTGTATAATTTAATAGCTCCAAATTTACAAGGACTTGTTCGAACCTTAGAATTGACACGAATGATGTTGAATTAAGAGGCTTAGGGGGTGATTGTTTATGAAATATTTCATTCAAAATGAGTTATTTTAGTTAACTATAGTTAATATTGAAAAATGTAGTATAGTTAATTGTTAGTGGGATTTAAGAATGTATTAAAATAATATTTAAAATAAAATAATTAAAATTGATTTGATATAAAAGTAAGAGATAAATGATTGGAAATGATTAGAAATGATAGGTAATTAAAATTATGTGAGTGGATGAATAGTGAATTAAAATTGATGTGATGTGTAAGAATGATTGGTTTGTATTATTTAATTATATGAATAATATTAAAGATAATGGGGTTGAGTTAGATTTTGAGTATAAATTGGATTGAAAATGAAATAATTTGTAAACAAGCATGCCCTTACAAATTTTGTACTGGTCCATTTTGTTTGCAAACTTAAATTGGGTTATTGATATTTATTGATATTTTATTTTGGAATCAAAATATTAAATTGGATCTCAATCTGGTCAGTGGTTTTTAATATAATNTTTGTCAAACGATAGATAACATTGCACTCAATGAGAATAAATAGTTTTACAATACGGTGATCCGCCGATCACAATTCATAGACTAACCACAACATACTACGACTAAATAAAAAACCAAAGGGTGTATTTGTTAAGGAATATATTCAAACCAAATTCATTCTACTCAAAATTTAACTCAATTTTAACTCAACTCCACTATCCTTAATATTATTAATATAATTAAATAATAACAACAATCATTAAATAATTACAACTAATAATTTTACACATCATATCAACTTTAATTTACTATTCATCCACTCACATAATTTTAATTAATCATCACATCATATCATCACTCTTCTACTTTTACATCAAACCAGTTTTAATTATTTTACTTTTAATATTATTTTAATATAAACTCAAAATCTCACTAACAACTAACTACACCACTTTTTTAAAATTAACCCTAGTTAACTAAAAAAAATTCACTTTGAGTTAATTCACTCAAATTATTCCTTTAACAAACACACCAAAAAAGGGGCGGTTTTTAAGTATTTCACATTTACTAGTATTTGATCATGCGCATTTGCACAGACGTTTTTGTTTGTATTTATTATTTGACATGTACTTCTATCATATAAAAATTATTACTTTTTCTTAAGTTATTTTATCATTCAAAATTAATTGAGATTTAAATTTTATTTTAATCATGCAACGTTTACATAACATGAATAAAATAATTTATATATTTGTGGCATATATTAAGAAAATTAACATAAATAAAAAAAATTATTGGTGTTTCTGATTTTTAGAAAAAAAAATATGTGTCAATCAGAGTAGGCAGAGAATGCCATGGTTGTTGTTGAAGAATAATTGTCAGACTAGCAATTCTTCCAACAATGCAACTAAATATAGCGGTTACAGCTCTGAATGTGTCAATCAACTTCAAGTTTCAACATTAGCCGTTACACATTTGAATATTTTACTACCAAATTTAAATTAATTTAAAATTGAATAATAAAAATATATATATTAATTATTAAGGACCTGCATCACGTAAAAATAAAATAAACCCCATCGAGGTTTTTGGCGGGAAATTGAAAAACTCATCATTCCCAATCACGACTGTAAAATGGTCAAGAAATTGTAAAACCTACACCACTTTTGTTCATCATCTATGCAATTAAATCGACAAGATTCGGTATAGCCGTAGGCGGAGAGAAGAGCACAGAAGCCGGCCACGGATACGAGGGGACGACGGCACAGTTGCGGGCGGCGTACCACCGGAGTCTCCGTTTCAGGTTCAAGGGATCGTTGGAGGAGGTCGATACGGAGCAGGCGCGGCGTGAAAGGCGGCTGGGGTGTCGGAGAGCGAACTGAGATAGGATGTGAAGTTCGAGAAAGAGTGGGAGCGGTGGTCGATTGGTTTTCCCTTGCACTTGTTACTTGTTAGCATAGTATCTAATCCTCTCTTTTCCCTTTTNTGAGGTTTTGTTGTTTCGATTTCTTGTTCAGATAAGCCCGGCTGGAATTTCCAATTAATGGCTTCGAGGAAGAAGGCGAGCAAGAAATCGAGCCATTCCAATCGGGAGCAGCACCAACCATCTCATCCTTCCAAATTTGGGATACAACACTTCTTCGAGCGCCACTCTCAGAGCCAGAAAACCCTCTCTAATGGCGGAGATGCTAATCCTAGTTCCATTTCTGCTTCAACCACCGGCCACAATCCTAAACCCCTTTCAAATTGTAAGCCTGAGAATAATTTGGTTTCCACTCAAGTGGGAGATGAGAATCCAGTTAGCATGCCCAATACAGAGAAGATTCAGCCGGTTATCAAGACTTCGATTGATGCCAATGATGGTGATCGAGCTTTTGGGAACGGTTCCAATTTAGAGCTTGTGGATATAAACAAAAGAAAATATTTGAAGCAAGCCGAGAATTCCCAGGAATCACTAATAGAGAATACATTATCAGTGATGATAGATGATGTAGATAATCAATTGGAGGTGTCACCGGAGGCCTCCAAGTCCGTCTCTGTTAAACGTTTCAAGTTTTCCCCTGGAATGGTAATCATAATGACCCACTTCAATTTGCCAATTTCTTCTGTACGTTAATGTTTATGATCTACCACGCTTAGCTGACTGGACACATGGTTAGACCATCTGAAGTTAGGGTCTTGGTGATGGGAAGAACACATATATGTATGGACATATGTATATATGTAATATATCAGTATGTCTGGTTATACATAAATATATTTATTATTCCTGTTTATGTAACAGTAAGCCGAAGCTTTTTTTATATATATTAAGCTCCTTTTATTCTTTTCTAGTTAATTAAGCAGAGCCAGGATGATATTATTGATGAGGTGACATGGAAAATTTCACCTGTTAATGAGAGACTTCATGCTATGTCCAAGAATCTACCAAGGAAGGTCAGAATATTGGCTGATTCTACAAGGTTCAACTCATTGAATTTTCAGCCATGCTCACAGAAAAAGGTCTTATAGCTTTTGCTATGATTTTACCTCCTTGTTCTTATTTTTTCTTTCGACATTAATAAAATAGTTTCTACTGGTAGGTACAAACATCTCCTGGAATGTCAGGACAGCTTGAAAAATGGTTATCTTCACCTCCACTCAAGCCAGAAAAAAAATATTTGACATGCTCTCACAGGCAAGCTTCACAAAAGCTCAAGCCCCCTTACGATTCAAACTGCTGTGAGAACAACAGAAATGCAAGTAGCAGTGATAAATCTGAGGCACTAAATAGTCAGAGCCCTTTCAGCACTCCACCATCTCTGTCTTGTTGCCATGTAAAGGTGATATTAATTTAAATTTTATGTAAAAATGTAGATTTAAGCCACTATCTTTTCTTCTTTGTTGAGGATTCTGACAGTTGATGAAATGTAGGCTCTTGAGGATGTGGATTTGGATAGCGGCCTGGATGAGCTGGGTTCAAGACAGCACAAGAAGGTTATTGATTTTTCCAAATTCCATCTTCATTTTCATCATCATCTTTAATTTATTAAACTCAACGTGGATCTTTTGGGGGCAGAGTATTGGGGAAAAGTGTTTCAAAATAACATGTTAGGGCATGTGGTGGTGTTGTTTTTCTAAGGGTGTCTTCTGTCATTTGGAATGACTGAAAATGTTGGTGGAAACATATTATAAGTGTTTGGTTTTATTGTGCGGAATGAAAATGGAGGCATAGGTGATATTGACAAACATTTCCCTAGTTCCCCTATTTCCTTCCATTTGTTGTAGTATCATTGACCATCTTATATTATATACATATGAAGGGATATCTCAGACCACAACTATTAAATATCTAGCAGTAGATTTTAATGCCCAAAATATTTTATCCCCTTGCAGGCATTAATAGAACTTTTAGATCAAGTAGAAGATGTAATGTCTGTTGAGCATTCATCATGTAAAGTCAAGGAAATGCTTTTCGATGATGAGAGACGTCAAAACAATGACCTTGTTGCAAACAACTGGCTCAACTGTTCGCAGCAAGCTCAATGTAGTAAAGACTCTAACTGCAATTTTCTTGTGTTGGAGGTGTGCAGTCAAGCCTAAAAATTTCGTGTATTAGGAAATTCGCGCCATTGACAATAATTGTGTTCCTGTACCATAGGTTTCAGAGAAGCGTGGATGTGCTGAATCATCAGGTTCTCAAACATCCTTTAAGGTTTGCATAATATTAGAATGGTGACTTACACCTTTTAGTACATTATAATCTGTTGGTTTACGAGGAATCACATCTCAGGAGATGCGCTTATTGAATGAACGAAGTGGAACAGAACAAACTTTGCAATTGTGGGATGAATGGTGAGTTGATGGAGATTTACAAAGCAAAAAGTTATCTTATTATGTTTAGTCATAGGATTACTCTATGTGACTCTGTGAAGTAGGGCTAATACTTCCGTTTATTTGAAAATGCTATCACTAAATACATGCTGTCTTAAGCTCTTGCCATTAAGGAATTGTAGCTCAAAGCCTTCAGCATCGCCTTTCTCTGACTGATGATAGTAATGTTGGAAGTAAGATCACCTGAATTTCATGTATTTCATTTCATAGTTCATACCAACTGAAGAAAGGTAGCTAAGATAGTAAAACACTTGAATTCACCATTCACTAGATTTTGAGATTTATCCACTATATTTCTAATGT